CTTGATTGCCTCCACGTCCAGGTTGGCCTTGAGGTCCAGGTGGTCCTAGAATTTTCTTTCTTTTTAGCGGCTACTTTATGCAAATCACAGTGTTTGCTCTCTTGCAGAAATTTTGCCAGGCCTTGAATCATCTTGAATCTGCGTAGTTATTTTGCTTCATCGAAACTTATCATTGATTCGTTTCTATTCTAAACCGATATCACGTCTATGCTGGCTGGATGTTGACCACCAACTCGATAATGTTCCTCAAACAAAACTTTTTTCTCCGAGGTTCATCTCGCCCTTGTATACGGATTCTGCACAGGGTTGTGTGTGTGTGTTGTTGTGCATGTTAATGGTATTTGTTTCTGCGCATTCGTACATTCCTAATTGTAATTTTCGAATGGCGTTCCGGTGACGTTACCGCTTCGATGAAATGCACTCACTCGCACATTTCTATGACAACTATGAAAAAGCAGCGAAGGAAATTCGCTTCGTCACACCCATTAGCAATAATTGTCGCGGTGCACTCAAGAAGATATTGTTGATGTGATGATGATGAAACTAATTGACGTCTCCACTGAATGCACTCACTCATCATTGTGATATGGCAAAAACGAGTTCAGTAACCCGTCTGTCTCGCACTCAAATGCATTTTCATTGATATGACCGACCATTAGGATAGATCTATTGTTGTCCTCATTATTGTCGTTCGTTATTTTTCTAATCATGAAAAGAAGTTTGCAACTTTAAAGTTTTCGTAAAAATGTGTGCATTGCAATTGTGACAACCGGAAGATGCATGGACAGACAGAAGACACTCACGGACGGATGGGTTGATGGATGAGGATGAGTCTCGCAAACTAGATTTCCGTTAGTTGATGTATATCTCAGTTTTTGATGATGATGAGTTTGGGACGGACATGATGATGATATGATATTCTCTAAACATCAAATCCAACAGTGTGCTTCTCTAGTAGGTGATTTTTAGATGGTGTGCTGGGATGCGAGTTGATATCGCAAATGAGTTGCGTGTTAATCACTAAAACTGACCTTTGTCTCCGGCTGGACCAGGTGGACCTGGTGGTCCTGAAGGACATGGTTTGCATGGTGCTGGTGTTGGCTCTTCGCATATTCTGAAACAAACATCGACATATCACTCTGTCTGATTTTTCAAAAAAAATTTTTTTTATCTCGTGTATTTGGAGAAGCTGACAATGAGATTAAATTTCCGTTTATTTGAGAGATAAAGTAGAACGAACTGCTCTAATGAATGCATATAAAACATGCTTTGTGCGAGGTATAAGCACAAAGCAGCGCACTGCTCACCTTGGTGGTCGTCCAGGGAATCCTTGTGGACCTTCTGCACCCGGACGTCCCGGTATGCCGTCCTTGCCTGGTGGTCCGTCGGGACCACGTGGTCCCGGTAGACAGCAGCCTGTAATTGTTTTGAATGATGCTCATAAAGCAAGCTATGCTTAGCAGTATTACTCAACGCTTGGTACCATATTGCGCATCTGCCTCTACACGTTGTTTTGCTTTCTTCAATCGGAGAGCAGAAGCCCTCTTTGAGTAAGTTTCACTTGATGAGCACGAATAAGATGTTGGGTCGTGCAATGTAAGTTTGATAAGATTCAGATAGTGTTTTGTAATGAGTGGACGACGACGACGACATACCCTCGCATCCACTTTGCCTTTTGATACGTGTTTCGTTCAGTGGGAACATCTTCTGATGTGCGTTGTGTAGCGGTGAAGCACGGAACTCTTGTACTTCCATCATTATGTCGCGAGCCGACATCTGAAAACTATGCTTTGTCTGGCTGATTTTCGCATTCTTCTGCTCTCCTTCAATTTCTGCTCAATTGAATGCGTGTCAAAAGAGATTGAAACATGAAAACTTGTTACAGTACTGGTAACAATTCATAGCACTGAATAGGATACTATCGTTTGACGTGCAATTAGCAACAGAATCAATTCGGTATCAGTCGAAACCGAAGAGAATCGATGTAACGATTTGATTCTGTTGGTCACTGCAAGTCAAATGACACTACCTACCGTATTCAGTGCTATGAACTGTAACTAATACGTACAAATTCTCGCGTTTCAATCTAGACAATCGCCTTATAATTAGATACCGATCTTCGTCGAATTTGAATTTCTTCAAACTAAGTCACATCGATATTTCCATCAATACACTGAACTGATTCTGAGGGTTATTCGTGGTAAAATTTGACAATGCGCTCATTTTTAGTGCCTAGTTGCCATTATTTTTTGATTACGTAATGTTTTTTTAACGCAGGAATTGCTCAGCGATTGCTTGGAAAAGTGTTTTTTTGTTTCGACGGCTATCGATGAATCGAAGTGATTTAAAGGAGCTAATTTGATTTTGATTGAGAAGGAAGAGGAAGGTGAAGGAAGATGTTTGGAGATTCGATTTTGACGATCGTCATAAAGTGAACGATGAGCGTTTTATGGAAATGACTGATGTGCGGAACAAATAATGAAGTGGAAAAAATTTTTGATGTTGACGAATATCTTCGGAAGATTTTACGAGCCTTTCATTCTTTTTTTGAGTTTTTATTTCTTTTTTTGTGAAGGTTTCCTAGCAATAATCTTTTTTAAATGTTTTTAAACGTTTCTTTTGTTTTTATCGAATTCTTTTTTCAGTTCTATGTGTCTAGGTTCCAAACATCGTATCGACGGCTGATATTTTTCCTAAATTTTTTTGCGGACAACAACAACAAGCAGTTGTCACCTGACAGAATTCCATTTCCAGTGCCACACGTGCATTCACGTTGTTCACGTAGTTGTTGACCATGGGCAGTGTCACAAAAACGGCCAGAATGGCCACCAGCGAGAATGCAGCTGCCGTGTACGTTATCAGCGTATACGCCTTCTCTCGGCTTTCGTTCTCCATCCTGAAAATCGATGTAGCTTTCAATAGATGTGTTCTATACATCTCATCCATTCAAGCCCGGTTTCGTAGCTTGAAAACGTTGCATCACAGAATTACATTGCAATCCCAATCCATGATGTTGTAAAATTGTTGCGCTGACAAAATCGTTTCCTTTTAAGTCATTCTAAGAACACACGATAATTATCGTTCGAATTCAGTGAAACTTCTCAATGCAATAGAATTATTTTATGGCGCCGAGAAAGCAGATGTCATAGTATGAATTTTAGACTAAAACAATGTCAGTGCATTGATTTGTTGCGAGCAACAATCGTTACTCATCTCGTTTTCGAAATTTTTGTTCGTTCGAAACTGAATATAATTTCTCAAATTGGAATTCCAGTGAGGCGTGAATTCGTATGAATAGCAGTCGATTCGTATGAAACTCATAGCAGTGGAAGAATTCGTATATAGAAAAAAAATTTTACGATGTAATAACGATGGAATGAAAGATCTACGGGAACCGCAATTCATCCACTACACATACGATTTGCATCTATCTTTGAATACTCATTTGATATCAGTAGCAATATCAGTCTTGGTAATTTTATCACAGAACAAAAGTGGTCATATTACTAATGATGCGGTAATATGGAATGTAACATTTTGAAAAGCACATTCGAATCGGCTTGTATATGGTGGTCGGAGGAAATGAATTCGTTAATGAGAAGTTACGGTGGAGAAACCTAGTATTAAGTGAAAATTTGTAAAGAATATCGCATTGAAGTCACACCATCTCTCTTAAATAGTTTCCAGTTCACTGCTTAATTGCAACGTTTTGTCTTAAGAAATGACTCTTTTTTTCCAACCTAAATACTTTCTGTTCATTTCGTTTCATTCAATAACCAGTTTTTAGTGTTCCGTAACTGCGTACAGTCTGTTTGCGGTGGAAAAACAGCCACAACTAATCTACAAAGGCAAATGTCAATTGATAACTTAGGAGTGCTCAAATCAGTCGATGAGCTTCTCAATTAAACGTCAATTGAAAGAATTCCTACAACTGCATCTAATCACTAATTCGATTTCATTTCAAGTTTTTAATGCCGCAAATATTTCGGAAATATTTTAAAGTGACAGAATTCCGGAGATTTGAGCAGTATGATGCAATTGTAATGGAAATGGGCTCTGACAAGCTGAATTTCTCATCAAATTTGTCGTTTTCTTTTGCATTTGAGGCATGAAGAATACCTTGTGCAGTGCAGTTGTTTTATGAAAGTTTTTCGTAGATTCTTTCAGTATAAGTGAGAAATTTACTGTTTTCGTTCTTTAGTTTTCACGAATTTAATCGGAAACAGAAAAGTTCCAAAGAAATTTCTGCACTCTTGTAAACGAACGCAATTAATATCGACAATCAGTTTTGCTTTCTTGACGTCTAATTACGAAGAATTTTGACAGTTGATTGTTAATTCATTTGGACAATCATTCAAGGACATTATTACCACATTGTTCATGGCAAATACATTTTTGTTTTTGAAATTATTTCTCAACTGTCATAATACAGTCAAAAAGCAATCTATTTCAACGAAATGCTTGAGGAAGGTATTCGCAATTTGGCCATTGCTAAAACCTTGAATATGTTTATAGTCTCGCAAATGATCGAAAATAAATTTACAATCAGATGATATGATCGTATGATATCATGATCAAATGATCGCAAATTTACAATCAAATGATCGCAAATTTACAATTAAATTTGAATATGTTTATAGTTCATGAAGATAAACATTCAAGTGAACATATCAAGTTATACGAAGTCAGTAACATTCAATCAAACGTGTACGCATGTAAAATGCTAGCATACCAAAGCGATATTCCCAATTCAATAAAAAACTGACATTTACAGTTCAAATTACTAACGGAGAATAACGCTAACTCATTCGGACATAGTACCGATCCAATCGTAAAAATGAGCAACGGAATTAAACTACTACCTGAAGATGTGATCAATAGAATCGCAGCCGGTGAAGTTGTTGTGCGTCCAGCGAATGGTGTCAAAGAGCTGATTGAGAACTCTTTGGATGCTGGTGCTACGGAAATTATCGTCACGGCTAAAAACGGTGGTCTGGACTTGTTGAAAGTACAAGTTAGTGGTTTTTCGATCCTTGAAGTGATCAACATTTTGATCAATAGATGAAGCGATCAACAGATTTGACAAATTTCGATCCTTTTTGATCAGAAGTTCTTCGATGTGATCAGTTAATGAGAAGCGCGATCCTATTGTGACAGTATCATAAGAGGATGATGATTTCCAGGACAACGGCAAAGGTATAACGAAAGATGAAATGCGCATTTGTTGTGATCGTTTTACAACATCGAAACTTCGTAGATTCGAGGATCTCGAGAGTATGAGTACGTTCGGGTTTCGCGGTGAAGCGTTGTCGTCGCTGAGTCAAGTGTCTCGTCTCTCAATACTCTCGAGAACAGCAGATGAGAATTGTGCATTTGTGGCCAATTATGCAGGTTATTATCTGCAACATTCTTCTGAAATGGCGATCA